GGATTCTTGTATCATTATAAAAAACATTTTTCACTACGTGAACATGGAACTCCAGCACAAACTGGACAGTAAGCATCCAAGCTTGTGAGCCATTAGTCAGGGATGTGGTCCTCGCGTATAAATAATATTTTTTTTTTTCTCGCTATGGGATGTGTAAATTTTTAATAAAATTTGGTTTCAACATACCACACCTGAGGGAGACCCTATCTGCTCTAAAGCAACCTCTTTTTGATTAGTTAATAAATACAATGTCTCCAGTCACATCTACATTTTCCAGCTTGGTACAGTTGGGTTAGGACCTTTACAAGCAGGTGTCTTGGTTATAATTCTCCGGCTATGTAAATTGATAAGAGTCAGACGATAGAGTTAAGATTACACATTTTTCCCGATACAACAGAAAATTTACTGATCCCAAGAGCACTAGGGAAAAGTCAAAAAGAGACAGAGAAAAGTAATGTGCATTCTTTGGCTGGCAGCTAAGGGCACAGGGAGCCAGTTATTGCATACAGAATAAAGGTCTGTTCAGGGAGTGATGAATATTTATATCTGCCCAGACAACCATAATTTCATACAGAGGTTTATGTATGCTGGAATTAAAAAGGTGAACACTAGTTCCCTAGCCATCCCTGGCTAACGGTCCTTTGAGTCAATGACTTGGAGTAAGGATGCAGATCAGAAAGAGTGAAGCTGAATCTTACAATTTTTGTTTGCATAACAGGTCAGTGGTCAGGAAGTATTGAAGACTTGGATCACAATGAGACTATATTAATTCAGTACAAGTCTCCTTTAATATGCTGCTGTATATACAGTTAGGTCCATAAGTATTGGGACATCGACACAATTCTAACATTTTTGGCTCTATACACCACCACAATGGATTTGAAATGAAACGAACAAGATGTGCTTTAGCTGCATACTGTCACCTTTAATTTGAGGGTATTTACATCCAAATCAGGTGAACGGTGTAGAAATTACAACAGTTTGCATATGTGCCTCCCACTTGTTAAGGGACCAAAAGTAATGGGACAGAATAATAATCATAAATCAAACTTTCACTTTTTAATACTTTGTTGCAAATCCTTTGCAGTCAATTACAGCCTGAAGTCTGGAACGCATAGACATCACCAAACGCTGGGTTTCATCCCTGGTGATGCTCCGCCAGGCCTCTACTGCAACTGTCGTCAGTTCCTGCTTGTTCTTGGGGCATTTTTCCTTCAGTTTTGTCTTCAGCAAGTGAAATGCATGCTCAATCGGATTCAGGTCAGGTGATTGACTTGGCCATTGCATAACATTCCACTTCTTTCCCTTAAAAAACTCTTTGGTTGCTTTTGCAGTATGCTTTGGGTCATTGTCCATCTGCACTGTGAAGCGGCGTCCAATGAGTTCTGAAGCATTTGGCTGAATATGAGCAGATAATATTGCCCGAAACACCAGAATTCATCCTGCTGCTTTTGTCAGCAGTCACATCATCAATAAATACAAGAGAACCAGTTCCACTGGCAGCCATACATGCCCACGCCATGACACTACCACCACCATGCTTCACTGATGAGGTGGTATGCTTAGGATCATGAGCAGTTCCTTTCCTTCTCCATACTCTTCTCTTCCCATCACTCTGGTACAAGTTGATCTTGGTCTCATCTGTCCATAGGATGTTGTTCCAGAACTGTGAAGGCTTTTTTAGATGTCGTTTGGCAATCTCTAATCTGGCCTTCCTGTTTTTGAGGCTCACCAATGGTTTACATCTTGCGGTGAACTCTCTGTATTCACTCTGGTGAAGTCTTCTCTTGATTGTTGACTTTGACACACATACACCTACCTCCTGGAGAGTGTTCTTGATCTGGCCAACTGTTGTGAAGGGCGTTTTCTTCACCAGGGAAAGAATTCTTCGGACATCCACCACAGTTGTTTTCCGTGGTCTTTCGGGTCTTTTGGTGTTGCTGAGCTTACCTTTGCGTTCCTTCTTTTTAAGAATGTTCCAAACAGTTGTTTTGGCCACGTCTAATGTTTTTGCTATCTCTCTGATGGGTTTGTTTTGTTTTTTCAGCCTAATGATGGCTTGCTTCACTGATAGTGACAGCTCTTTGGATCTCATCTTAAGAGTTGACAGCAACAGATTCCAAATGAAAATAGCACACTTGAAATGAACTCTGGACCTTTTATCTGCTCATTGTAATTGGGATAATGAGGGAATAACACACACCTGGCCATGGAACAGCTGAGAAGCCAATTGTTCCATTACTTTTGGTCCCTTAATAAGTGGGAGGCACATATGCACACTGTTTTAATTCCTACACCATTCACCTGATTTGGATGTAAATACCCTCAAATTAAAGCTGACAGTCTGCAGTTAAAGCATATCTTGTTCGTTTCATTTCAAATCCATTGTGGTGGTGTATAGAGCCAAAAATGTTAGAATTGTGTTGATGCCCCAATATTTATGAACCTGACTGTAGACCACAGGTTTACTGTAAGGTAGGTGAATGCTTGTAGCTTCACAAACACAAATTAAAATTGTGTCTAAAGTCAAAGGTTTCCTTTTTCGATTGAGTAGGAAAAACGTGGAACCAATTAGATTGTTACTTTTTTATTGCCATCTGAGATTCACCATCTTTGTCCTGGTAAAAGCAAAGAAAATCCAAATGTTTTACCTTTCATCAGAACAGCAGTACAAGCAAAATCTCCAAGACAGGGACAACTGTCTAAGACAGGATTTCCAGTCCAGTTCACCTGACTGTGGAGAGTTTACCAAAGCTTTTGAACTTTCAACATTAAATTCCAATTATTATCAGTGGTGCACATCCACACCCAAGCATTATGTCACTTGAAGCTTCAAAAAGTACACAATCTTTTTTGGGACAAAGTCATGCCATTTTGGTCCTTTTACAGGAATGCCTGAAAATATCCATAATATGCGTGTAGCACACAATTTGCTTCTTCTAGGGACTAGCATTCCATTGGCTAAAACAAAAATGTTGAAGCCTAAAAATGCCTACGAAATATGTTTAAAAACCAACCAAAAAAAAATAAATAAATTAAGAAGCTCAAGTGTGATCCTAACCAAAGCTCCCATTCACATTATGCTCAACATGCAGAATCCCATTCTAATTGTCCCTGTCCACACTTGTACTTTTGGTTGCCCTATGCTTAAAATTACAGGGTTTTTTTTTTTTTTCCCCAGGCGTTTTTACTCCCATAGACTACAATGGGAGTGCCTGTCAACAAGCAACACGCATGCTTTTGCGCCTAAAGAACTCCTCTCCTTCTCTTGCCCAGCCTGGGAAACAAACTGGAAATTTGACACACATGTAAAAGCACTTATAATTAGCCTGCAAAACCACTTCACCAGTAATATGCTCTGCCTAGATGTGAAAGAAGGATTAGGGAGATTTCCTTTTCCTTCCAGTTAGGTCTCTGAAACAGGAAGACTAAGTAAAATCTCATCAACAGGACACACGGACACAAAAAAAAAAAAAAAAAATCCAATGCCTTCCTATTCTGAGGTCAGCCTCATTTTAGAGCCCTAACATTGTAGAACATCTTTCAAATGACGGTACCTACAATAAATGAAAATGAATGCCATTTAGGAGTAAAAGTAACTGTACAGGGACCACTAAATAAAAAACACAATTTCAACAATACCCCAGGTTTCCATAATCGCAGTGCCCAGTTCCCAAGTTACGGCTGTCCACCGAATACAAGCACACTGCAAGCACGCAAAAGAAAAATCTTGTGTTCATCCAATGAAGGCATAGTAAAAAGGAGTCAAGATTCACACACTTAGACTCCCGAGTCTCCATATATTATGAAACATATACAACACTAGCATTAAAATACCTGACTGTCAAATCGATCTGTTCATATATGTGCACAACAGTGGAATCAATGATGTGCTCTTAAAAAACTGGATGAATGCATCCAAAGCATGTATTGGCGTGTTGATGTGCATTTTGATTCACTTCTGGATAATTCTGTTGTGATATTTCCTGGATGTGAATTTTTGACCTGAAGTAACTTTGGCAACAAAAGTGCAACACAGCACATGTAATCACATCCAATTTAGGAATTTTTAGATGCACAAATAAGCTTTTAAATAAAACAGTTTTGTTGTTATTTTAGTTTATAAACCATTACAATGTAGTCCAAAAACATTACCTCAGACAGTAACAGACATAAAGCAGAGAACTGGACAAAGTTCTTTCACGGCCGACAAAAGAGACCCCAGAGAAGCAACAAAGGAGACTTCACGGTCAGCTTTATGAGCGCCAAGAATAATATCTTCACAACTCTACAGTCGACAGAACTTGTGTGCTAAGAATCAAGATGCAAAGAAAAAAAAAAAGTAACAGCAGAAAAGAAAAACCTATACAGGGCTGTCTTTCCATTTCAATCGGAAACAAAGCTTTCAACATACAGCAACAAAATATTTTCACTGGGAGAGCAAATATACAAAAACACACATACACAAGCCATATACAGAGTATATGGCAGAAGGTTCTATGGTTTACTTGTAATCCAACTACTGATCCATTCAAAGGAAGTGATCAGCAGGTGGAAATGTGCAAAGTAAACTTTACTCAAGAGAAAATAGGGGGGCTTTCCGTTCTGGCTATCTTCTGAAAATGCTAGTTGCCTCACTAGCGTCAACCCTCTGGCTACGGAGTTGCAGAGTCAGAAAGGTATTGGTGTCATGAAGTGCCAGTGCCTCTCCCATCCCCTGCCATATCCCTCCACCCCTCCTTTCCCCCTTGCACATTCAGATGTCCATGTAGCTTCCATGAACAGTGCTGGGCCGGCCGTTGCCGAGGCAACCTAACAGCGTCCCACATGGTTTTAAAAAAACTCGCACAGGAAGCAGCCCTTCTCTCTTTGTTCCTGTGAACACTGCTGGAATCATCTTGCTCCCTCCGCTTAATGTCCCAGGGTGGGAGTCTCCGCAGCTCTGCATGAGCCCCTCTTCCAAGGTCAGACCCCGTGGCCATGCTACCCCCGCAGTTCCTGGCCGCTGTGAGGGCCCCTGCCTGCTGGTCACTGGGCCCTGGAGAAGCTGGCCGCTGGGCCCCTGGAGAAGCTGGCCGCTGTGAGGGCCCCTGCCTGCTGGTCGCTGGGCCCCTGGAGAAGCTGGCCGCTGTGAGGGCCCCTGCCTGCTGGTCGCTGGGCCCCTGGAGAAGCCGGCCACTGTGAGGGCCCCTGCCTTCTAATCGCTGGGCCCCTGGGAGGAGCCGGATGCCATGAGGGCTCCTGCCTTCTGATCGCTGGGCCCCTGGAGGAGCCGGCTGTTGCCCAGCGTCCACAAGTCGCCCACCTCCCTGGAAGCCACCTGCTGCTGAGCATCTGCAAGTCGCCTACCGTGAGTGTCCCTAGAAGCCATGAACTGCCCGTGGTGTGCGCACAGACTACCCGTGTCCTGAACTGTCCCTGCTGTGTGCACTGACCCCGCTTGTTTTGAACTGTCCCTGCTGGGTGCACCGACCACCCGTGTTTGAACTGTCCCTGCTGCGTGCACCGACCACCCGTGTTTTGAACTGTCCCTGCTGCATGCACCGACCACGCGTGTTCTGAACTGTCCCCGGTGTGCGCACCGACCACCCGTGGATTTGAACTGTCCCTGCTGTGTGCACCGACCACCCTTGTTCTGAACTGTGCCTAGTGTACACACGGACCCCCCCCCCCCTCCCCGTGACCCCGATGTCTCTAGAAAGCTGGGTGGGAGCTGTGCTAGGCCAGACTCCACAGCTAGAGTCCCGCTGAGTTCCCAAGACCCCTGCCCAGGGGTAGGTTGCCCGCCTGTTGCCTGAGACTCCAATCCGCTGTGCAGTCACGGAGGGAGCTCAGCTGAGGTAGGGGGGAGATCGCCAAAGGGGGGGGGGGAAGACTGCACAAGCCACCCTGCCGGAGAAGACCCCCCGTGCCTGGAATCATCCCTAGTTTGCGCACACATCACCCTCCCTGCCATTTCCCCATTGTCTGTCATCTTGTGGTCTCAATAAAGCTTTGTGTGTTCCACATCTTCTCCGTGTGCTCTGTCCTGCCTACGCTTCCATTACAATTGGTATGAAGAAAGTCCTACAGTATATGCATACATGTTCTTGACTAGTGATTCAAAGTACTGAAACAAGACCGTTTGCATGACAACCAGCATTTGCAGAATCCAAACTCAGCAATAATAGACTCCGTGTTTCTCAAAAGAAAAAAGTGTCCATTATTCATTCCCTATGTTAACATACTGAGCAAGAGACTGATCCTTTGGAGACAAAACGTTGATAATATTAAAGTAAGTTAGCATCAAACTACCTGCTGAGATCCTATAAAGAATGGTTGAATTTACAAAACAAGCTCAGCTAGTCCAGTATGCTAAGGGCAAGGAAAATCATCATCAAATGCACGATCTTCCTACTATGGACCAGCATTAACAACAGAACAGAGGAGTAATCCTGGAGGGGAAAAGATGATAGAACACCACAAAACAATAAATAAAAATGGGTAAAGAACCTTTCAGAGATCTTGCTTAGCCAAAGGATGACTTAGCCAAGGCACTACATTTTGCTGTGGCACCCTCACCATGCCCTTGTGGTGGATGTCATGACAGCTACAGATTATTCCATCCATAGCAATCTCATATTGGTAGATGAGGCTGAACTCCTTCTTCTGAGGTGACCACTCTTCTTACTGATGGGAACACATGAGTCACGATAGAGAGGGTCCCACTAGCTGTTAAACAGTAAAAGGTAGATTAAGTTAAACAGACCTCAAGCCAGACCAAGTATGTTCCTTGCTAGACCTTTGTCTCAAAACCACCTATTTCAAGTACAAGCATACATTTTGCACACAGAAACATGGCTACACTATGGGATTACCTGTATTTCCCACTGCAGCTATCATGTACATGGAGGAGGTAGAGAGGACAGCCTTGGACTCTTTTAGGAGAATAATACCAAGTCATAGGCTCAGGTACGTGGAAGATACATGGGTAAAGACTGTAAATCAATGTACAAGCTTATGGTGATCACAAACTCGGTGGACCAAAAATATCAAGTTTACAAGGGAAGGGGAGAAGCAGACGAAATGGAGAAATAATCATTCTGTATGTAACCTGTAGTGTCAGAAAAACTCATAAGGATCCTTAAACTTGCCATCCCTACAAGCTTCACATCCCTGTGTCTTTCAAGACCAGCAATACATTGAGACAGAAGCTTGTACAGCTCATCGATCCAACATCTAAGTGAGGAACTTGGTACTGTATATACAGTGTAGTGAGTAATGCATAGACAGATATATTGGGGAAACAGAAAAATATCAGATAATTCCAGGTATGAAATATCATGTTACTCACCTATCTTTGTCATGAGACACAGTTGGTGCTTGACCCAGCAAGGTCACATAGGCACCTAGAGATCCAATGCTATTATTCTAATCTTTGCTTTCATACAGAATTAAAGCAGCCATTAGAACTTGCTGTAGGGACATACCAGTGATGTAGCAATTGGGAAGGATTGGGGGGGTGGAGGAGGCCAGAGCAACAGCGTGCAGACGAGAAATGCAGGCATCCAATATACCACAAAGGGTTGGGTGCATAAGATTCTGGTGGCAGCTGTCGCTCTGAAATAGAGTGAAGACGGAAATCAATTTAGTTGGTAATTAGAAGTATTACAACTGTATTTTAAAATAGCACATTTGTCTAACTTTTTTTTTTTTTTTGGAGAAGGCAACAAGGTTCATTGCTCAACCCCAGCACCGCCCCCACTCACCCACCCACCTACCTCATTAAAATGTAAATGTGTATAAAACCCCTTTTTCTATTACCTTGATTTTGTGCCCAAAGAGGTCAAATGGTCGACATCTTAGGCTCACAGGAAGTTGTCCAGATGGAAAGGCAGGGATATCCAGTGGCAGATAAGACTTACTGCATGGACAGTGCTGGAGATAGGATAAGAATTGCAGCTAAAACTGCTTTTTTTTTATTTTTTATTTCCGTGTGCTGGAATCAGACATTTATTGTATTATACCATACCATACCATTTCCACCTTGTTACTTATTATGGTTTATCCACACTTCCCATAAACAGCACAAGGCCTATTCAATTCTTCCCAATTTAATACTCTATATTTCATGGTAAAAAAAAAGTAAGTGATGCAAGAAGGGGAAATAACCAAGGCAGGAGCAGCTGTGTATGGTAAACAATAGGCTTCTAGCTTTTGATTTAAAAGCCTAAAGTTCTAAAGGCTACAGTTTTACTTTAAAGTTGAACTTTATTTAAAAGTTCCATGCATCCTCCCCCTCCTAGCCTTCTATTCCATTATTGCCAGATTATTTTCTTTTCTGAGACAGGTACCCACTCCCACTTCCAAAGTTCTCGGGAATTGCGGAAGTTCAAAACCCTCCACAGCCTCCCTGGCCATGTGACTTATCCCAGGAGGCTGTGGGACCAGTGTCAAAGCGCAGCATCTTAGGCAAGCATGGCGGGAAGCTGGCTGTGAAACAGCAGGAAGTCACAGCCGGCTTCCCACAGTTAAGATTATGGAGTCTGGGATCTGAAGACCAGAAAAGAACCAGTCCAGGTAAAGACAGCACAGGACTCCTGGGCTGGTAAGTGTTTGTTTATGAATAGTCAGCAGGTACAGTATTTGTACTTGCTGAGTTAATTTAACAATTGCCATAGTTACACTTCAATGCATTCACAGCATTAAGGTAAAAAAATTCAGGTACTTTTACCACCCCCTGGCTCCCTGAACCTCCTGTATCAACAGACACTGAGGGCTGGCTGCAGTGTACTAGGTTCATGGTTCGTATGCTTGCTCTGTGTGTGTGTCTATGGACTAAAACAACTCAGCTTAGGCAAGGAGCACACACAGGTGATCCTCAGCACAAGGCTAGCTACAGAGACATCTGCAATTGTAAAGCTGGGGTGGGTCTCAATGATTGAAAGAACCAAAATCAATGAATGAAAGTGGAGGACCAGGGACAACAAAGCTGAAAAGGGAAGGGGCTAGATGATGCTGGACGTCCTCCAACAAGGAAACAAGGCAGGCTCTGATTTGCTGCAAGTTCTAGTGTATGATGTAAGAAGCTTACAATGTGCAGTGAAATCAGAGTAAGAGGAGCCTGTACAAGTGTGCAAGATGGAAGGCAAGGCTTTAAGATTCACATGGTGATATATACTTTTGAAAGATACCAGATTTGTTGTACTATGTGCTACAAATTTATGGAATAAAATGTTCAAGCATATTAAAAATACATCATTGCCATTTTACTTGCATAAACATTTTTTTTTTCTTTTTGGCAGCTTAACAGAACAGCAGGAGAACAAAATGAGCAGTAGAGTGCACCCTTCTTGGGATCAGTTATGCTTTATTCCTGTGGAAGCAAGAAACTACATTTTATATAAGAAAGGTGCGTTTCCCATTGCCAGCAGATTCTATCTGTATGTTTACTGCTGCTCAAGGTAGAGAGACTCCCAATCTCCAAGCACAACTCCTCCTATAGGTGCTAGCCCAGCTCATGTGCTGCATAGAGAATAAAGGACGTCCGATTTGCTGTACTCCATACAATCCACGTTTCACGCTAAAGACAGCGGGTTATGAATGATGAATAAGTGCTGTCTTTAGCATGAAACCCGTTTACCTGCCAGTCCCCCACTGTATTTCCACTGTCTGCATTCGTTTTACCTTGGTTCAATAAAGTGGATTGTTTGGAGTGCAGCCGATAGAATCTGAGAACAAAGGATGTCCTATCTGTAGTTCGTCTTCCAGATTGTAAGCTCTAACGAGCAGGGCCCTCGGTTTCCTCTTGTACCAAACTGTTGGCGCTATATAAATCCTGTATAATAATAATAGTTTTTTAATTTTTTTCTCTCTTTATACAGGAGTTTTCCATGATGTAGCATCAAAGTAGTTTAACTTCTATATGCCAGCTGAGTCTTTAAATAGGCTGTGGCAACTGAAGCCAGACTGTGATTGGCTGCACAGTGCTACTGTCAGTTGACTAAGCGGTCAGTGACAACTCTGTCACAGTTCTGATGGAGTTACTCTGCTCCAGAACAAAACAGCAACACATATATGTTAACTGGTTGCCGACCAGCCACAGTGTTTTTACTGCGGCAGGGCAGCACCTCTGTGCAGACCGCCGTTTTTAAACAGCACTCTGCAAACCAGGTAGGGGGCGCGCGCGAGGCGTGTGCCCGCCCTACCCGTCCCGCCGATCGCGGCAGCGGGTGTCCATCTCCGGGTCCCGGCCAGTCATTACCCGCAATCACTGACAGGGAGCACAACTGCAGTGTTTACACTGCAAGTCTGCTCTGTCAGTTCCGAGCACACGCTGATCCTGAGAGAAGAGTTTCCGTGAAGTACACACCCCCGCCCCCTAGTAAAACACTCCCCTCACACAGTTAACCCTTTTATTACCTAAAAAAAA